CGGGGGGCTTGGGTGCGCGCCCCCCGCCGTCTGCCCTCGTGGATGCCTCCCGGCGGCGGCGGGCCCATGAAAGACTGCGAGTACAGTCAGATCAGCACCCACAGCTCCTCCCCCATGGAGTCGCCCCACAAGAAGAAGAAAATCGCGGCCCGGAGGAAATGGGAGGTTTTCCCGGGAAGAAACAAGTTCTTCTGCAACGGGAGGATCATGATGGCCCGGCAGACGGGCGTCTTCTACCTGACTCTCATCCTCATCCTGGTCACTAGCGGACTCTTCTTCGCCTTCGAGTAAGTGGCGGCGAAAGCTCCCCACGCCCGGCTCCCTTCGCCTCCCTCGACCCCCGCGCCTCCCCTCGCTACTTTCGTTTTCTAGAAGGCTTATCTGCTGAATATTGTTATATAATAACCGGCCTTCTGGCCCTCTTTTTCTTTTGAAGGTCTATTTGCTTCTCGGTCCCCAGAGATAATGCAGTTCTGGGTCGAGCTCTAGGAGTGAGGAGAGGGGAGTGGGGACACTTGTAAGGTGTGTCGGCCTTGTTGCTCCCAGGGGTTGGGTGGCACCTCGCAGGTGACCGATTCTTGGCGCCGACTCTACTGAGTTTGGAGACCAGCAAAACAGCCCAGATGTACCCTGCGGGAAGGGGCATGAGGCAGATTCTCAAGTCAGGGATAAATAGAATCGACTTCCTTCTAGCTCACAAGCTGTGGGGCTTCTTGTTAAGCTCAGTTGACTCAACCTTCGACATACCTTCGCTGAATAATGAAGAATCTTGTTTCTTCAATTAGGTTTCAAGGTGTAAGCCACCCAATGTGGCCTGGAAGGATCATTTCAGTTTTCATTTTCCTTAGATGTTCATTCTTGATCCACAATTTATGATTTACCACGAGGTTCCTTTTCTTTTTTTTTAAACCCCGAGGTTTCCAAACGCTTCAGTTTTAAAAAAGTTTCAACAGACTATGTTCCAAACAAACACTTTACCCTCCCCTCCCAATATTTGGGAACAGGTGAAAGGAGACTTTAGGCCTGTTCAGGAAAAGTGACACTGCCCGGCAACTTTCTGATTCCAGAAACAATACTTTGGGACTATAAGGGCTTTTTTTTTTTTTTTTCCTGGAAAAAAGTGCAAGTGAGTCTTCACCGTTTTCAGGAAAATCAAATTGGCCAGTAGCAACTCTCTTTCTGCCAACTAATGAAAAATCTTCTTATTTATTAATGGTGTTAGATAAAGCAGTTTAACCACATTCCAGAAGCAATTTCGGTTGCTCTTGTGAGGTCCAACATTTGCAGTGCAGCTGCTTATGTAATTCCTGGTATCTTATGCTCAATGAAAGTTGTAGCTATTCCCCCCAATTAAAAAAAAAGTGATATATTCTTGGGAGTTCTTTGCGCTTCCCATATCCTGGTTATTATGGGGCAGGACACTTTAATCTACTTCAGTTGGATAGGGTTAATTAAAACCTTTTGCGTTTCTTTACTTTTGTCTCTGATAAGTATTAATAGGCTCTGATTTTGTACCTGGAGTTTGATATTCCAAATGCTGTCTCAATCAGAATTGTAGGATCTCTTGACAGTGTAACAATGTAATAATTTTTACTTAAGGTCCTCTGACTCTGTGGGAAAACGCTTTGTATCTGGGCATCATGCTAATTTGAAGGCTTTTAACAGGATTGAGTTAGAACAGGTGAGGAGAGAGATCTCTGTTTGGGCCACACCCTCCCCTGCGTTCTCACACACAGGCCCTTTATTTCCACCTGTGTAGCTTCCAGGTCTCTCCTAGAAGTTTAACTTTCGTGCACAATCGTGACTAGTTGGAGTCTGTCGGGGGACCTGGGGATGGGATGGTAAGGCTGTGAAGAGGCTTTCGGAATGTTCCTTCTGCTGCTGCTGTTGCTCGCTGTGTCCCCATCAGAAACCAGCCTCTTGTCCTCAGACCTGGGGAGCGGAGGAAGGGGCTACAGGTGCCTGATGAGTTTGCATTCTGAGACAACGGGATGATGATGCCATGTGTTTGCATGGAAGTACCATCCTTTTAATGGTGGCTTTCGTTAGAGGTGGTCTGTTACACAAAAAGTATTCACAATGTTCCGAATGTTAGCAGAGTTTTGAAGGCATCTGCATTGATGCGAGTGGAGAAAATGGGTTAATTTTGTGATTGTGTTGCAGAGCTTCAGCCACAAGTGTGTTCATGTAGGATAATGGTTATTTTATTTTCTGTATACATCCAAGTCCCCACCCCCCAGTTATTACTTACCATCTTTTACTGTCTTTGTTCAAACATTGCTTTTAACCAAACCATCATAAATTCCTTTTCACTTCTTCATCTCTGTGAGTGTTTCTTCCAAGGGTTCCCTCGAAGTTCTCACTGGCAGGTCATCATGGATCTTTTCTGCATGAGCACTGTGTTAACTGATGGCTGTAGGAATAAACACTTGCACTGGGGTTTTATTAGCTATTATTGGCTTCATTTTTATATTAGGCATGTGTGTATGTGCGTTTGCCTACGTGTGTGTGTTTGGTCTCCACGCGCGTTGCTTCAATTAGGCAATTTGATATTTCAAGAAGGTGGGCGCATCTTAACATGATGCCCCAGCTGAGAAAAATCATAGGGCTGTTCAGACTATAGAATACTGTGGTTTGGCTACGAATATTTGTCACTGTATTGCTTTTAAGTTCTTTATCATTGCTAATGGCAGAGTGAGGTTAAATGACTTCGGTCCAAATTAATTTGAATAGGGACTCAGAGAAACAATTAGTTACATGTGTAGGTAATGAAATATCAACAGGCTAACAGATAAGAGCTCAAGAGAAAAATGCCGGTTTTGTCTGCTCACTCCCTGCCTTCCTTCTGTCCTTCCTTTGGTTATTTATTGAGCGCATCCTATGTGGCAGCCTGTGGTCGCCTATTTTTATTAATTTCACATCTAGATAACTTTATTATTAGCATTCATTTTCAAACATCAGAGTCCATGCTTCCCCATATAGTTCCACAAAGGCAAAAATTCAAAATCTGGAAAGAAGACATGTAACTGCTGAAGTTAGTTTTAGACCTCCTTATCCCGCGACTCTGCTCCATGCCATCTCTCGTTCCTGACCCTGAACACGTGGACAAGAAGTTGGTCCAAGAGAAGGGGATTTACTGGAACGCAGCAACAGGTGTTGATACTATTTTCAACCCTAGGAGAAAGGCAGGGTAGAAATTATTATTCCCACATTGGAGGTGAAGTGGCAGAGGCTTGGAGAGGTTAAACAGCCACCTGCAAGCACACACTAGTTAGTGGCAGGGCTTCTGGCTGCAAAGCCAGCACCCCTCCTACACACTGCGCTGCTCTTTCTTGAAAATAGGATAGTGGTTACAGGCATGGATATTTGGATGGACAGATTCTGAGATTCTTACCAGACATATGACCCTGGGCAAATTATTTGACTTGATAAAGTCTCAGTTTCTGAATCTATTAAATGAGATTAAGACTATCTACCTTCAAATGTTATGAAGATGAAACACAAAAGGGTACTTAGTATGGTGTCTGATACATAAAAGAGAGTGTTCAATAAACAGTGCCTACGATGAGAGGAAACCTTAGAAGTAGCCTCTCTAGGACTCTGGTCACCCTTTTCTGAGAGCCTTTGAACGAGGGAGTATGTGGATCAATAAGCAAGCATGACAGTGATAGCATATTAGGGCCGAGAAAGTGCAGAACCGTGTAGTCTGTGGTGAAAGTAAAGACCTTCGTATGAGTCCGGGGAGTGGCTTCACTTTTGTCCCTTCAGAATGGGGTCCTCTACGGATGTCTGGGGACTGCCCTTATCCAGACCCTGAGCAGGAACACTGAGGGAACCCATAAGAAGCGGGGACTGGGTTTCCTTTCCAGTTTGGAGCTATCATCTCAGAACCGTGACGACAGCCAAGAAAGCTACTTGAAGCAACCTGATTCAACTTTCTACTCTTTTCCAAGTAGGACAGGGCTGTTTGTCTTTGGCATTTTTTGTTCAGCATATACGGAGTATGGATGTAAAGTGACAGCATTTCACAGCTGTATTTAAGAGGGGAGGGAGGATGTGGGTTGCAGTGCTACCGAGACAGTTCACTGCTCCTTGAGGGGCCGGCCCACCAAAGATTCACTGCGCTTTCCTCCTCCTCACATCCCCAGAATTGCAATTTCAAAAGATCATTGGACATTATCAAGCATCTTCTCTCTCTCTCTCTCTCTGACGCACACGTATACACACACATGCACACACACATACATACACGACCTGCTTTTGTTTAGAGTTGAAATTTTGTAAATGAAGCCTTTGGTTCTGAAATATTGACACTTCAAAGTTTCTTGATGACAGGGGTCAAGAAGGAGATGGCCTGGGAGGTCAGAGGAGGCTCATGTTTTCAGGAGAATCCCATGCGGTGAGGGGAGGCCTGCTCAGATCTTGGACTTGACTGTGTCCCAATTCTGTGCTGCCACCACGGACAGTTTGGAGATGTTACTGGGGCTGAAACACTTGACAATATGGACACATTCTTAAATTTCTCGTTACTAGAAGTCCATTGGTGATTTTTTTTTAAAAGCCATGTTTTCTTTTCTCTCTTCTTCCCCTCTTCCTTTCTTTTCCCCCCTCTTTCCTTCTCTCCATCTCCCCTTCCCTTAGTTCCCCTTCCTTCTCCTTCTTTCTTTGGCTAACACCCATCTGAAATACAGTAAGTCCCGACTTAAGGTCATCAATAGGTTCTGTGACTTTAAGTGAAATGTATAACAAAACCAGTTGTACCATAGGCTAATTGCTAAGAGTTAAATTCCTAAGGCATCTCGTCAACATCATAATGAATGACACTGAACAAAGTGGCATTATTTGAGGACCTGCTGTAACTGATGAATAATTAGTAGTCAGTGGAACTGGGATTATTTTTGCCTTGAAGATGGAACAAGGGATTGTCCTCCCTAAACAAAAGTGCCATTTCCAATAATTTCTCCCTTATGGATTGGAAATCCTTTATTTTCTAGCAGAAGGTATTCCCTTTATAGCATACAAGGACCTCATCTTATCTGTGCTGTTCAGAACTGCATTAAGTTCTCCACCAACTTAGAAAACATCTGGAAAGCATTTCATCTTCTTTTGGCCAAATTCTGGCCAAGCTGTGCATCGTGGAACAGCCCGGGGTCGATAGCAGATGATAGTAATGGCCATGCGGACCCACCACAGAACATTCGCCATTAGCATAGTAGATGTTTTTTTTGGCTAACCAAGACTTCTATCTAGTTTTTCCTTATTTTTTAACTAAATGTTTTAAGCAAAT